TCGTTCCCTTTAATTATCTTCTTACGAGCACAAGACGTGCCTCTTCAAACAAATAATAAAAGATCGATTCTGATAAATGGAACATTTCTGATTGGAATTGGCAGACAGAAACATGTAAACAAATAGCCCTTAACGTTAATTGCATCTTACATGAGGATTAGTAGAATATATATGTACATTAGGATCAACTCTATTAAACTTATTAATAACATATAATTTTACTGAAATAAATTAATGAAATGTTCGCCCACTAATTGTAACTCTAAATTTTGTTTATTGGACAACGTACAATTTATTTGTAAAATTTAATAGGAAAGTATTTTTTTTAAACATATTTTAAACCAGAAACTAATGATAAATTAATATTGATATTATAAGCAAATGACTTTTCATATTAATTAACATACCTAATAAATATATATTTCAAAAAATATCATATTAAAAAAATCATTACAGTTCCTTACTATAAATTGATAACACTAACTCTACTGCGTAAGATTCACAATCGAAAAACATTTAATTGCACGACGGTTGAATATTTTATTAAAATATTTATGGTACTGTAGAAAATAAAAAACTGCAATAAAATCATAGCAACAAGGAACAAATCAATTAAGATTATGTCCGAAATAAATATTATTTCACTGTTTAATAAATTCAATCCCACTAAACACATAACAATATTTACAAAGGAGTATAAACAAATATGAAATGTTATATATATAATTTTTTCTAACCCTACATAAATCTAAATGTGAACAAAAGAATAATGTATTCTCCAGGTAACTTCAAGTAAATAGGAACTCACACAGCGACGCTCTGTAATATTTACTTATTCATGCAAAAGCATTTTGCCAACCTTTACCCTTAGTATGCATCCTTACATTTTTTACTATTTAGAGGAATTTTATTTTCTACGTTGTGAATGACGCAGTTTTATAATGAAAAATTATGGGTGTTATATATTGTGTTATTGTTAAACTTAGGGGATATTGAAATTATAACAGATCCTAACACTTATTTATCAAAAAAGTTAAAACATTTGATGTATGTAAAGTATTTGACATAAAATTTACACCGAAATAATTACGTTATAAATATTCCTAGTACCCAATACGCTAATATTATAAAATGCCCTATTTAGTTTTAAGGGACACTAAAAAAGAAATCAAATTTAAATAATTCTAACACTTAAACTTCAAAACAACGTCTTGTTTAATATTAAATTATATACATTTTTTATGATATATTACACCATTACGATCAAAAATTTGCGTATTGATTAGTTCTTACGGCTTTAAAGATTTTCAATCCTCGTATTTATCACATTTAATTGATCTAAAATAAATTGACATGAAAGGTAATTGAAAAAATTAAAACTTAATAATGCATATAGAAGTTATATGAAAACATAAACAATTTTTAACATGTAGAATCTCGTTTTTCAAGTTAGTGTAATTTTCTTAAAATCCTTCATATGGAGGTATATCCATTTCTTATTATGAAACCATCAAGTTAAATTACGTAATATGCTAAAGTATCGATAACTTGAGTTATAAAATTTTATTCCAGCGCAAATACACTTCTGAGTGCTCAGCACAGATAAATGAAATGGAGTTTGAATAATGCTAAAGAATTTATAAACCATTTGAGAACAATGTGATGTGGAATTGTTTTATCTCCCACAGAAATAAAAACAGTGTAATGTTTTAACACTAATATTTTTTAAATACAAATATTTTAGTGATACTATAACTAAAATTATTGTAAGCTACGTTATGTAAAATTTTCAAATTACTATCTCTTCTCACCTGATTAATTTACTAATTCAAATAGTTTTGAAATAGTTTTGAAAATGTTTTTTTTTGTGTAATATTTATCATGAAAAAAGGAATGATATGTAGCTAACGTTAGTATATTTTGGAACGAAGGAAAGCAAAGTTATGTGTTTACTTGTTACGTACGCGCAACATATAAAAAATAAATGAATATCGCCAAGGCAACATCGTTTTATGGATAAAATATCATATAGTGACTCTGCTGACTCCGCGGAACGAACACTAAGCCGTGTGAACTAGAAGATTCCTGATACCACACAAACTACGGAACGGGATTGCTATCCTAACATCGGGGCAATCATGTAGTCTTAGGTGTAGTTATAAATTTTAACATGTATTTTTTTAATAATATACACATAAGTTACTTTGTTTTCCTGGGACCTTCGGTTGCCAAACTGCTTAATTTATTGGTAAACAGCTACACAGATAATGAATTCCAATCTTTATGCTCGCATACATATGCTTTACATTTTAATGTTGGTGACCAAGTATTTTAAATTAGAGTTAAAATTACGCGATTTAAATAAAAAATGTAGGACCTTGCTGTGACTACTACTACACAAAAGTATACAGAGGAACGTATATAAACATATATAAAATTATGTAAACTTATAAATATATTTTTAAATTAAATCTTGTATTCATTATTTTTGATGTAACGCGACATTTTCGTCACTCTTTCGCAATATGGATAGCAAAAAGACGAGATACATGTCTGTCAGTTAGCCATGTTTTAATTTATTCTTTTGTGTACTGTTCTGGATGCTACGTTATGAATGATTAAATTGAATATGATTACATACATCCTTTCATCCAATATAGATACCATTCACACTACATTATGGCATTATCGAAAGGACATATCTCATATACAACTTAAATTTCATGATCTCTATTTTTATTCTCTTAGTCATATATTTTGAAGAAATATATATCTGTAATAAATTATAAAACTCGAATAATTCGCAGAATTAGGTCAAATTTTTAAAGTCAACACTCTCTATATGGTCTTGTCATGAAAAACAACATGTTGTAAACCAATCGGATAACATATAATTCAAACTTTTTTAGTGCCTCACTTAAGAAAATCAGATAAACTCTAGAGAACAGAAACGATTTGTTAGAAATAAATCAGTATACTGACGTGTACATAATATGATTAAATGAGAAAGCGCTACCTCTGGATTGCTACTTACTAAATCAACCATCAAAAACTAGTAGCCCTCCTCTGCAATGACTTTTTTTTAAATATATAAAAAGACAAAATTATAATTATATATTTCAAAAAAACTAAAACAGTTAGGAAATAAGCATTAGGTTTTGACTGCTAAGTGCTTTAAAATAAATTCGATCTCAGTCTATTAAGGAGTATAATATTGTCTACTATATAATTAAAATAATATTAAAACTACATTCGGAAATTCTAAATATGAATTTATGCAACCAATTACCATATTCATAGTCTTTGATTCCACCTCAAATACCGTACCCTCAAAACGTGAGGTGAAAAGCAATTAGGAACAGCTTCGTTCAATAATTCGTTATTTGAATTTTCTTTTAAACTTATAAACGATTTCCTTGTTACATAATTTGAGCACTCTTATTAATACTTCTGCGTAATATATAATATAAATTTTTCACAGTTTTCTTAATGAAAACAATTTGGCTTATGACATTTATTACATTATGCAAAATTATTTTTAGATAATATGCAGCCCCTATAAAGCAAATTTAGAAGTAAAAAACACTGATAAATCTGTAACACCTAAAACTTACACCTCAATTAAAAAAACATAATAAAAAAAACAACTTTTATAACAAAAAAGGATAAGTTCAATGAATCTTGTGCTATTTATAAACCTAAAAGCGACCTCTTCCAGAAAACCTTAAGGCTGAGGTTATAAAAAGCAATGAAACATTTTGGTTTATAATTAGATGAACAATTTCTTCTACAGATTTTTAAACGAAACTAATTAATTTTTTGATTGACAGAGGAAGAAAATTCCATTATAAACAATTGTTCAAATCAATTTATATTATGAATAGGTAGCGATACAATTAAGTAATGTATTTAATTTCAAATTTATCCTCCGAGTCAGAATGTGTATTTAAATGAAATAATTAAGAACAGGAAAGAAAAAAACATGTGAATTTTTCTTTTATAAGTTTTTAAATTTGAATTTTCAACTGATTCAATACTTTTTGAGGATTCCAAAGTATAATTAATGTTGTCACGTGAATATTTTTGTAGAAAAAGTATAAAATTTTGTTAATCAGAATCCATTTTTTGTTAAATTAATACAATTACCGAGGTTTCCTAATAATAAATTGATATACATATTTATAAGTATTAACCTTTGCCCACGCTGTCAGCTCGAACGGTTGAATCGATTTTTATTTTTTTTGTTGTGTTCAACTAAAAAATAAAATAGTTTACGAGGATCTCCTAATTCCAAAGTAAGGTTGTCTTATTTTTTTTCTGATTTTATTAATCCCAAATAAAGTCTGGGGGTTTAAAAACAAACTATATCTCTCACTTAACTCTGTTATGAATGATACCTTTGATTGAAAGGACAAGGTCTGTCGGGTCTAATAGTACACTTATCAATAAATTTAACTTCTAGAAACTAGGGGTTTACTTTAAACAAATATATTTATGACAAAATATTCTTAAGCTTATTTCGACTTTAAATAAAAGATTTCCAATTAAACTTTGAAGAATGAATGTTCAAAAATAAAAGAAAATTAAAAACGTTTAACACTACTATTAAAGATTATCTTTTGAATATTTTATTTAACTTATCCGAGAAAAGATACAGGTTTTTCTATTTGTACATTTTTTTGCTAAGTTTATTTTCCCCGGCGTACAATCAAATAGAATGTAATAGAATTAGATACGCCTTAACATTTTCCAGTTGAAGTGTTAATGTACTGGAACCACAGTGGAAATAGAAACTGTAGATAGAGGCAACGCAGGATTTAAAAGAAAATTGTGTTTATAAAAGCTTGAAAAGAATCATGAAAAAGATTAGATAGAAAATAAATTTAAGCGTTGTTAACCAGATTCGAGTAGCATATCTTTTCAAATTAATAAGAATAAATTACATGGGTTAGGATTACATAATATAATTGAGTATGAAGAAAGAAATACTGAATTCAAACTTAGACAAAACTTACCTGTAACCAGTTATTCCTAGTGATGTTCTCCTCTGTAACGGTGAGTGCTTTCCGTTCACCCAATTTATAAGATTCGTCGTAATACATATATTCGGTAAAAGTTAGTCCGCTAGTGGTGTACTGTTGGGTGAAATATATTGATATAGTCCCGTTTACGATGTCGTGTTCTATAATCCATCGACATTTGATTGGAACCGGGAAAGGATTAGGAAAGTTTGGAGTTTGGATAATACCAACAGGTCCCTTTAACCTTCCGCCACACGTTTGAGGGCCTTGATGTTCTCTTATGTCACTCTTCTGCGTATGAACAATGTCAGCTGTGATGGTTATTAATGTGATGCTAAGCAGATTTTGCATGGTCAGCCTGAAACAAAAAATATGTCTTAACTATCGAAATACGTTTCGAACATTCATACATACGTTTGGACATCTAATCGATATAGCAGTTTCGTTCAAATGAGTTTTAATTTGAGGAAATATGTATTTTAATTCACACAATACCACATATAATTTTGTTTTATTTTTATCCACTATAGAGCAGAACTAAGACTTTTCTTATAGAGTAGTTACTAATGAAGTTATGAACTTTCTAGAAAAAACTCTGAAATAATTGTCTACGAAGTGAATTGTTTCTGGTTATATTCTTAATGCAAAGAAACATATAGTGTTTTGTTTTTTACTAAGAATTTTTATCATCATCTCTTGACACTATCGTGGTTTTAATTTTCTTGGAATAAATATGACATGTGGAAATGTTCACTGTTTTTCCTTGAAATGGAAGAACTGTTGCTTTTATTACTAAAATATTTTATAAAGAAATATGAGTTATAAAAATATACAAAGCGCTATTTTAAAAATTCGTGTCATGAACAAAATATGTCCGTTACAGTAAATCTTCTAAATTCAACGTAAACGCGTCGCCGCAAGCCATGGGAACAAAGATTGCCAACGTACAATATAACAAAGTTATGTACGCCTCGTATATTACCATATACGAAAAGTTATCAAGCACCATCCGTGAGTTATATATTTTTTCTGTAGTAAGCTGGTCGGAACAGAATAACAAAAAACAGCACTCAAAATTGATCAATATAATTCTAAATATAATTAAAGAACCATAGAAACTACAAAAATAATACGCTCGCGGTATTTAAACGGAACTGTAGGCGACAAAAAAAATTGTGCACATTTCAAGATTGCCGCTTGTTAACAAAAATGTAAGAAAAATTAAAATATCTTGTCTTTGATGCTATAAAAGGAAATTCGTCAAATTAAGCTTATTTTTACCTGAGAAAACACACTGGCAACAGCAAGTGCGCAATAAATGTTTACATTTTTTTATAGAAAGCTAAAAAAATATTTCGTAATAAATGACGTCACCCATTTGTCACCTTTTATTACATTCACCCTCATTTAGGACCGATGAATTCGGCTCTCCATCAATATCGCCTGATGTTATTTATCATTGTAATATGTTCTTTCATATATTGAATAACGTATACTTATTATTTATTACCTTACGTTTCTTATCGTTAACCAAACCTTAATACTTACTAATATTATAAATGCGAAAGTAACTCTGTCTGTCTGTCTCTCTGTTACGCTTTCACGCCTAAACCACTTAACCGATTTTAATGAAATTTTGTACAGAGATAGAGTTGACCTTGAGAAAGTACATAGAATTTTTTTTATCCTAGACTTTTGAAAGGATCTCTTGGAAACGCGATATAACCGAACTCCACGCGGGCGAAGCTGCGGGTGGAAAGCTAGATTACTATAATATTAATTTTTCCGATTAATCTCTTACATTAGGCTATTTATTTTCTGACTATTTTATTCAATGTCTCATACGTAATATGAAATTAAAATGTTTCATAATTTATCAATAAATTCACAGGTCAGACTTGATCAATCAATCATTATAATATAAAATCAATACACAAATTCTCTAATTAATTGAATTTAATTTATTCAATGTCAGAGCAAATATTCACAATAAGTGTACCTACCTAAATTATATCACATTTCTTGATGAAAAGTTGATTATGTCTGACTATCTGAGTGTCAAAATTGGTTAACACTGATGTAAATTAATTTATTTCGGCTCTAATTTCTTTGTTGTCTAGAAATATATTTTAAGAGTATGATTTAATGATATTCTAATTAAAAATCTGAAATTACAAAAAACCTAAGCCATGAAAGAGTTTTCAAAACGATTATAAGTAAAAAGCAATTCATTATTTGAGTATGCTTTATTAATTTATCTATCCGGAGATATTAAAAATTTATATTCAGAGCATTGTAACGAAATCCAAAAAGGTATGAAATTTTCAATTTTTTTTTTATGTCAGATATGTATTTTTTATAAAGTTCTTAACATATTTCTTAACGGTTTTTTATCTACATAATTTGAGTATCCAATAGCATGTTTTATATATATTTTTATACAAAAATTATCGGATAAAAATATTTCGCATTAACAATGTCGTAAATATTTGCTTTTTTCTTGGGGTCAATAGGTCAATATGTGCAAAATGTATACTGAAAAATTGTTCATATCTATATTTTTTACTTATGTACATGTATGAATATTTTTCTTATTAAAAATTTCAAAAATTATGTCAATAGAAATCATTTAATGTTTGGATGAAAATGAAAAATGTACGTCTTAAATGAAATACTAATTTTTAACTACACAGAATATTTTTCTTCTTAATTTTCAGTCACATCGTTATTGTATAACGTTTTAAATATTATATACGATAAAAATACTAGGATATATATTGTAATCTCGAAAAAAAACGAGAGTTAAGGAAAACTGCTTTTTTATTTCATAAATATATTCACAATTCACTTTCAAAATCATGGTCGATGAAAGCAAAAAGCATATCCATAATGGAAGCTTTTGGATGTAATAGCGATAATGGTGAGATAAAACTGAAGTGCTATTTGTTTTTTCACGATGAAATGTTTAATAGCCGTAGTTCGAACACAAATTGTAAAAAAACGACATTTTTATCGATTTTCTTATACTATTTTGAGTTTTGATGCGTTTAATGATTTGATTTTTAAATATGTATTCTATTTATTTATTATATTTATCGTCATTCATCAGATCTTTTTCACAGATATAAGACTATATCGTTCAGCTCCTTTACAATAATACATATTTATAGCAAAATATTTTATACTACGTATTTTTCTTGGATTTTTATAAATTGACATAAACAAAAGACCTCTGAAAGTTCTGGTTCATCGCTATATTTTAAATGTTCTCTTTATATTTCAAACTATTATTTCAGCAAACAATATATAATTTTAGTACAAAAACAAGAAAATTTACATATTTTTATCCGTTTTATTTGACTACAACTAATCTTATAAGTATTTATTATACTATAAATATAAGGGTATTTATTTAAGGCTGTACAACCAATTTTAAACAGTGATACTTCCCAGCATCATTTTAATGCTAAGATTCTGTTTCTTTAACATTTATCACTATAATTTATGTAATGATTTATAATTATTTAAATCATTAAGATTACTCACAGTTATTTTATAATTCAGATGAAAAAGTAAATTTAATGATTTCTTGAAACTTATTGAATACTACATTGATGATTATGTAGATACATATTGATACAACATTCCAACGGGAAGATCTTTTAATGATAACTTAAAGCTATGGCTTAAATAAGGAAGTGCAAGTATTGATGCCTTTATGAAATGCATAATCACGATATTGAAATTGGTGACCTCAGTACTGCTAACGGCTTTATTTTTAAAAAGCATGTATACTTATATAATTAAATATGATGTTAATTTTATACTGTATCTAAATAAATAAGTTTAAATAAGGCGAAAACATCGATAGTAAAATTTATTAATGATATTTTGAATTAGTTTTTTTTATAATTATTATTCACAAAATTATTAATAGTCTGTCTTATAATTTCCTCAAGATGTTTCTATATAGAAGAGAATGTTTTGATCAAGCATACTTAGGTTTCAAGGAGAAACGTACAAGAAAAATCGTTCGACTTGTATTAAAAAATCCTGGCAATGACACTTCTGTTTTTAGACAAAGGATAATAAAGTAGAAAATAACAAATCCTATAAAAGTTATTCTTTCAAAATTTCTCTATGGATAATACCTTACTTTGACTTAATATTAATTAATACTTTTGAATCCTAAATTTATTATTTTGATTCAGTTTATTACTGACATATGATATAATTGAATCCGTTACAATCTTCGTAATGTTTACGATTACATTTTTAACATCAGAGCAATGTTATATAAATATATAACAGGATGAAAAATTCATCGAGGTTTCTCTCGTGTCGATGAATTTTTCATTCTATATTTCGTATTTTAAATTTAAAGCCACGTTATATACTTTCTTCAGTCATTTCGACCTCGTTCCAAAGAACCTTCAGGTCTATCTAGAAATGTTTTAAATTTTCTTTACACCACACACAAAATTTAAAATTTTTACTAAATTTTTATACAATATATGAATTAAACTATATCAATAAAATATACAATATTTTATAGAATTATTGACAAATTTAGATATTGTCGTCGTTTTTTTTATTCGTATCGTGTTAAGTAGAATTTTTTTTGAGATATTGGAACTCGAAAAGACTGACTACTTAAAAAATATACTAAATATATTATTAAAATAATAATACACACCAATTTCGTATTATAATCATGTGAACTTTAGAAATAAACAAAATAAAAATAATAACGTAATCCCTCATCTCTAATGCCAACAGCAAAACTTGCCTCAGGCACAACATCGTTTGAACATTTACATTTATTTTAATGGGACCTAAAATATACGTATAATAATAACAACAAAAAGGTTTGGAGACACGATCTAATAAAATTTACATTGTATTTTATTTTATTTATGTTTATTTAATACATTTTGTAGCAAATATTTGACAATTAATAGTAGATTTAATATTTTCCATTAGCTTCGGATAGAAAATAACTAAAGGGGATAATTTATGGCGATAATTAAAAATATTCTAACCATTTCTTTTGCTTTATCGTTATTTAATTCGTTGTCTTTCACAGGTTAACCATATGGATGCCCTAATTGGATATAACTATTAAAGTCATTTGACCCTCTTTTTATAAAGAGAAGTACTTATATAAAAAAAATATATTATATTTGTCAATTTAGTTCAAACTACACTAACGCATTGCTAAATCTTAACATTTTTTTCTAAGGAATAAACATTTTTTCTAAGGAATTACACAACTTCTGAAAGAAGTTTAAATTCCAACCAAAGGTTACCAGAAATTTTATGTGTTACTATTACTATCAGCTGTTATTTGT